AAAAAAAAGAATACAGAATCCGAATATGTAACACAAATTCTGCACCTTCAGCTACTATGATTATACAAAGACAAACTCAGAATATGGAAAAAAAAATATGAAATATAATTTGAAACACAAAAATTACACCTTCAGTTAACGATATTATGCTTATACAAAGATAGAATCTGAAAAAAGGTGAGCCAATATAAAATCTGTAAAAACACAAATTTTATACATGATCGAATAAGAAACTTCACCATGAAAAGATTGTAAGGATGCGTGTGTTTTGCAACTATTATTTTGGATGTAGTGCTAAGTAAAACCTAATTGTGCATATATATATTTGGGCAGATAAAAAAGGGAGAGATTGACAGAGGCACAAAATCATAAACTCTTTGTTTCTCTACCCTAATTAGATACAAAATTCCTAATTAAGCCTGAATTTTGAGCGCCAAAAAAATTTAATCCCGCCAATTGTTTAGCTAGATAAAAATTATAATTTTCTTTTTAATTTTTCAATTTCTATTGTATACAACCGTTACCTGTGGTGCCCGATCACCATGGACGTGATGAGGTCTCTGGCAAGCCTCTGCACCACCTTGACCGACTACTGGACCTCCATCGAGAAGTGGCTGTCCCTCGGCCATAACACCTGCTCCGCCACGCTACAGATTCGTCGCCCGCTCACACCACCCACAACCTCACTCTCCACAGACTAGTCGACCTCCAGCTTGATTCCTTTTCTCTCGTGAAATTGATTCAGATTTTAGGTTGAGATTGGGAGATGAGATCGACATTAAACCAATTCCCTCGCGAGCGTGGTGCAAGATTGATTCAGTTTCAGTTTTTAGGTTGAGATTGGGAGCTGAAATTAGGAGATGAGTTTTTGGGTCTGTGAAGTTAAGGAGAGAACCGTTTTGGGGGAAAAAAGGAAATTGCCTTTATCTATGAATTTTCATAGGCTTAATGTGATATGCTATATTTTGGATTCTTAATGCCGGCACTTTAGCAATTTTATGTTCTGTTATTCATAAGGTTAATAAGGCATATGACATATTATTTTATATAATAAATGTATACAACATTTGTTAATTAAATGTTATGTTAACTTAATCATTCAATTACTTAAGCTAAATAATAATAACTTATACATATTTATTATAGTTAGAAATGTTTTTTTAGATATATAAATAGTATTATTAAATATATTAGAAAAATATATATTTAATATATATTAAATAGTATTATTAAATATATGTTTTTTATTAATATATATTGAATATATATTATTAATATATATTATTAACAGTATTATTAAATATATGTTTTTTTATTCGAAAAATGCCTTGGACTTTGACAATTTTATGTCGTGCCTCGTACCGCGGCCCGGTTCTACCCGGCAAGAACTCCGACTCGGTATCTTCAAGTTCTTCTTCTTCAAGTTCTTCTTCTTATTCTTCTTCGTCTTCTATGCACGGGAACTTCCAACCATTCTCTTCTTCTTCTTCTTCTTCTTCTTCTTCTTCTTCTTTCGAAAATCTATCATGTGTCACGTCCGCCATTTCTAAAAACATTGGACCGGTTCGTACGGGTTCGATCACAGACACACACACACACACATACACACACTATATATGTTGATAAATATCAAGCTTTGTCTAATCCAATCGCGTCATATTATCTTAATTAAGTTCTCATGTGTTGCGATTCAAAC